GAAAATTAAAAATTAATTAGAAATATGTTAAGAAGGGCTACAAACTATAAGAATAAAAAGAAATATAAATAATAAGCGAGATATATTGAAAAGCGCTAAAACATATTATTTCCTATCCCCTCCATTAATTGTACCTCTAACTTTCCTTCTTTTCTCATTACCGATTGAAATTTTAAGGAAGTTCCATCGCAACTTGCTCCTTTTATGTATTTCTGTACAATCCGATTTTGTTTCGAAATTTTAAATACTTGAACAAACTGAAAGATTTTATATTCTGAGTGATCTCATTTTTATCTATGAATATGTGAACTAACTTTAAGACTATTTCTAAGGTATTTATTCTACGATTTTCTGTATTTTACTCTTAATTTTTATTTTATTCTTATACATATATGAACTTTATATCAATTATCTTTACTTGTTTTGTATCCTTCTATTATTATATTAACAGATTGAGTTTTTCATCGTTTTTACCGACATTGATTTCATATATTTTTAGCGAACTATTGTAATTGCGACACGATAATAGCGAGTAATCTCCGTTCTGGCATACGCACAATGACATTGCTAGAAATTGGTCTTTTTGGATTTGACATCGAAATGCGTTTTCATATCAATGCGATAACCATAGGTTGTAATTATGCCACCATTTTCTACATCAAAGCAGAAGTCTGTATTTCCTCTCATTAATTATTATTAGCCGTTGACTTTTTAAATATGTTTATATAAATATTTTATTTAAAGATATTACATGTTTAACATTGAAAATGACCCAATCGAAGTCGAAACGCCGTTTGTTTTTATTTGTTGTAATATGTTTTAGCGCTTTTCAATATATCTCTTGCTTATTATTTATATTTTATTTTATTCTTTCATTTTGGTTCATAGCCCTTCTTAACATATTTCTAATTAATTTATTATTTGAACCATTCACATTATGTATTTGAAAATTATAAAATTACATTTAGTATTAATTAAATACATCGTAGAAATATGAGCAATGGCTTTTAAATTAACTACTGTATTAAATACTGTTATGATAGCAGTAAAACTATCTGTTAAACTAGTTTACCACAAGAATTTCGTAGCTGGGCGTACTGCACACTCATGAAAGTCACCACGGAGGAACAATGGCTGGCACTCCTGAAAAGATACAACGAATCAACGGTACATGATAAGAAAAGCCTCGCCTTCGCATTGGGATGTCATGCAAACGCGAGTCTGTTGCAAAGGTGAGATACATTCCGCATCTCATGATAGAATGAAATTACATTAAAATTCTTAATAGACAGGTGCGATATAAAAAGTGTTAAGTAGGTATTCGTTTGAATATTATTTTAAATTATAATTATTTAAATATATATTACAATTTCTTATTGCATATTATAATAATTGCTTCCAGATATCTGTCCACAATATATTCACAAAAGAACGTAACGTCTGAATTTGTAGAAATAGCTCTAAGGTCCATTGCGTTAAATCCATACGGATATCACGTTGCAATACAGTTCATAACTCAACATTGGAATGAATTTAACACAAACACATCAGAAGGAAATAATTAGTAAGTTAAATAAAGTTTACAATTGGCAAGAAAACTCTTCTGACAATTTTCAAATTGTTGAAAAAATAATTATTAAAAAATTTAATAAATATCAATTACAAATAATTTTTTGTACGATCATCCGACTATTATTGTCTGACGCTCGCTACATCTTCATTGCTGTACTTTCAGCACAGATGTTACCTTGATCGGCGTATTGTATGCTTTCTCGGAAAACATTCGTCAAAAAGAGGACATAGAATGGGTAAGAAAATTGCACGAGTGATGAAACTTAACAAGAATCGAAAAGTGAACGATATTCGTCTCTGGAAACATATATACGTATATGTATATACTTCGGGTGTTAAAAGTGTCGAATCATTATATAACAATCGCGATTTTTTTTTTGTCAGCTACTACAACTGAAAGGCAAAAGCGAGAAGTATGACACCGTGATCGAGAAGCTTATTAATATAGTTCAGACCAATGTCGCGTGGTATAAAAAGGAGAAAAACGAGGTAACTATCGAGTTTGATTGCTCAAAAAGTGAAATGGATTTTGCACTTGGTAAACGTTTTACTATGAAGTTATTTTTGTATTAAAATCTGCACATTTTTGCATACATTTGTACGGTTTTCTTAATTAATAATTATAGCTAATAGCATCCAACATATACTATAATTTGTATTAATTTTATTTAAGTGAAAAAAAAGAATAAGATACGATAAAATGTATCCATTCGTTTTGTAGCTTTTATGTTGTTAGTTAAAAAAAATAATATACTTGCAATCTATTAAGTCCAATTTTCCAATCTTTTTTCTACAGACATTGAAGATACTAGAAGAAATTTCTGTAAAATATACCGAGACAATAGATTGTAAAAAGCAAAGTTAATGGAAATACTATGTTAAAAATTCATTCAAATCAGTGCAATCATGCGATTATTCAACACGAACAAAATAATTACAAATAATTGTAGTACGATCAGTTTGTACAGACTTTGATATCATGACTTTGCGATCAAAACCTAAAATTTTACTACATTATTATAAAATCAAAGAACTCTTAATTTAAACAATAATATCAAGAGTATACAGGACCCTTAAGAGTCAGATATAAAGAGAAAATTTTAAAAATGTTAAAAAAAAGACCCGTATTAAGCATGTATGTTACTTTCTCGACAAACGAGCACTGACCGCGATGATTTATAGAATATTATATCAAATATACTTCTGGTTTGAGTTTTTATGTTTTAAATAATTTTCTCTTTATATTTGACTCTTAAGTGCCCTGTACACTCTTGATATTGTTATTTACTACATTAGTTTTTATTTATTGATAAAAAATAATTTTACAAAAAATGTAAATTTTTATAGAGTCAGATAAAAAAAAATTTCCAAAGAATTGTATGCTACTAATTTGCCGTCTCCCTTCCCCGGTGCAAGATAAAGTATCATATATTAGAAATTTCATAATGCATCAGATACATATATATTCTTTATTATAAATAAAAAATTTAAATAGAATTATGTAGTCCACTTAACAGAAATACATATTTTTTGTGTGTGTTAAAGGAATATATGGATTCTTAGAATTATTCATTCAAGTTTTTGTTATTAGTCTTATTTCTTTTTAAGAATTTTTCAAGTTCAAAAATAAGATTGTGAAATATAAAATTATTTCAAATCATTACTATTTAAAAATTAGGAAAAGTTCCAAGATTATCAAGATCAATATATTCTAATTAAAGATTAAAAAAAACTTTTATTTTAACTTTCCCTACTCGAAAAATCATTTATTGAATAGGAAACTAAGAATGAAGATAACTTCTCGATATGAAAAGAAGTCAGCATTTGAGGTATCATCATCGATACTAACAATAAGACGCGGATGCTGCGATGACATCGAAGTATTGTCAGAATCCCCCGAGGAGTACGAGGAAGCTGCGAGAAGTTCTTACCGCGAAAAGTGACGGTGCAATGGTACCCCGGTTCTAACCGGACAGTAACGAGCCGGGTTTTCGTGTGGTCGGAGAATGTTACTAAGTAAGGGATTGATTCACGGGCAGTTATAATACCGCCAAACCGAAGAGCCCTAATAGATTCAGGTCAATGCTACTACCGTTCTTCGAAGTCGTTCATTATGTGGGAAGAGCGGGCCCCGTTCTCATGCCACACAGGTCGCCAGTAACCTGTATATGCAGCGGACTCCGTGTCGAGAGAATTCGTTGCAACACCCAAAACCCGAAGTCAAGATAGAAGGACTCTTAAGAGGACCTTTTCTTTTGTATGATTCCTTCTTTTATTCTACATACGTCGCGGTGCAATTTGAAATAAAACAAATTCTATTCTTGTTCATATTTATATGTATACATACATATGTAATTATGTCATTATTAGGAAAAATACACATAAAAGTCAAATAAAAATCGTTAAAGTAATGATTAAATTAATATGATTAATACAGATAAGTCACATATTTATTTTTTTTTTTTTTTTTTTAGTTATTAATCTTGTCATGTTTTATTATTATAATAAATTTAATTTTTCTTTTTTTTATATATTATATAATAAAATTAATGATTATTTTATTGTCTAAAAATTATTTTACGAATTGGAAATGCTAATAGTTACATATTAATAATTATAAAATTATAGAAGTTTCCTATAAGGGAAGTTGATTGGTAACTTTCTCACGCCTGAATAGTTACCCTGTGGAAAAAGAATCTCACGCCAAGTTGTTTTGACCGGCATAGTTATGAGTGGTGTTCAACTCCATTTTTGAAGAATGTTTCTAGTATAGGTCACGTAAGATGTTAAACAGCGATCGGATTATGGATTGATGTGAACGTACAGTGCATTTGTACGTATACAAACAATAAAAATGTCGACATCATTTTTGCACATATAAAATATAAAATAGAACTAAAATTTATATATGTATATACTTAATATAAATTAAAATTCGTTTGTATATAATAAGAGCATGCTTAAAAAATATAATTCAATTTTTTTTTGGAATATTTTTTTCTTGTACTTTCAATATAGATTACATACTGGAAAAAATTATTTTGCACAATAGTAAAAAAAATGATATAAATATGATATAAAAATAAACAAATGATATAAATAAACATTTTTATAAATTTTTTTTAATAAGAAATGTTTAAAATAAAAAAGATCATAAAACCCTTTTCCACAGTTAATATGTAAAGTTAGAAGAAACAAGTAAGGTTAGGAGATCAAAGAAGAAACCCTCTTCTCTGAAGAAAGAGGGTCAAAGAGCGCTACTGTGTCCTTAAATGCATTAGGGACGCACAAAAGAAAGAAAGAAAGAAAGAAAGGAATAGGAAGGAAGTTCTCGTCGCGTTGGTTTGGCGAACGGACTCCCTGCGCGTGTGCTCCTTGCTTGAGCGCGAGCCAGGACCCTTCCTGAAGTTAATGATTCGGTCATTGCGATGGGTGGCGGTGGCGGTAGAGAGTGGTGGAAACGAAGTAGTGTGGGCCTGGCGTGTAGAGTAGGAGAAGACTGCGCCAGGAGGGCGAGAGCAGGAGAGGAGGATCAGATTGCACAGGAAAGTAAGCTCGATCCCAGTTCGAACGCTTCGGTTCGGTCTTACGGGTTTAGTCTTGAACAGTGGATTGTTACCGTAGCTGATCGGGAAGATCGGGATAGATACCTGAGGGTTAGATATCCTACACATCGCTGCTCACTTAATAAGCGAGCGGATTGGCGCCATGCACCACCGTTCACGTCTCCTCTAAGAAAGGTGACGTCGCGTTATATAATCACTAAAAAGCCCACTGATCAACTTTTTCGGTCTTCCGAGGAGTGATCTTTAATTGTTTATTTGAGGGAAAGGAATCTGCGAAATAGAAATTGAGATCGAGTAGACTACTCCCGGAAGACCATCAGCAATTCGATGCCGCACGCCGGCATTCCGACGTCAGCTCTAACCGCGAAGAGAAGGCGCAGGCAACAACTACCGGTCACCCTTAAAAGTACGTATGGCAGGATATGGGGTTGTAAATTGAAGATTATGCAACGCATATTTACAACAGCGTTTATCATTAATGATGGATCGAAATAGAAATGTTAATTACTTTGCATACTTCATTATTGTCCACAACGATTTTGCATCAATATATTATTAATTTGATTTATATATCTTATTATAATTTTATTAAATGGATTTTATTTATAATAAAATGCTTAAACTTTAAGATTATTCTTGATCCTTTTGGATTGAATCTTTTGTTTTATAATATTGTAACGTTATTCTCATTATTGTATTATCAATTAAATGTAAAGTTAAACAACACGTACAAATAGTTTTCAAGTTATAAGCAATTGAAAAAAGCAAATAAAATTCTTATAAAAATTTTGTTCTGATATAAAATTCTAAAATTAGAAGTATATTATAATTAGCGCCGAGACACTACCATGTCTCCTGATATAAAACGTATAAAACATTTCGCATAAAGCTAAAGTGGATTGACAAGAATTACTTGCAAACGCTGATCTTGTTGAAGTACCGTTTTAACTGAAAGATTCTTGGTAGTATAATTTCGAGTTTCCCATTTATTATATAAAAATTGATAGTTAGTAATTGAAAAGTAAAATTGCGAAATGTTAAATTTTTATCATAAAATATACATTTTTTATCCAAAAACAAAACCATTAATTTAATTTAATTTAACTTCTCTAATTCAAAGAACTTATGTAGAGAATATGTGTAGTGTAGTAATATAGTCAGTGGTACAAGATCGTTATAGTCAGTAGTTCTCCGAAAGAAATCAAGTATATTAACAATTAAAGTTATATTTTACACATTACATTTATTAAAATGTAATAATATTTACTTAGTTATGGCATCCAATTACCATTATCATTAATTATAGCTTGTAATCATGCTTTCTACGAAACATGCTTTTTAAGAAATTTTTACAAATGTAAAAATGACATCAATCGATTGGTCTCTCCAATCTCCGGACGCAAATCCGTAAAAATAAAAATATCTGCTTAATCACACGAAGATGAAGTTTCGACAAACACGAATATTTATTTTGAAACAGTTATCTTTGGCACATTCGAAATATTTGGAGATTTTTATCTAAAACTTTAGCCAAAAATTTTGTAAGAAGCATATCTTGACGATAAGTTATAATTAATGATAATAGTGATTGGATGCCATAACTAACAATAAGTAAATGCATTTTAGTGAATGTAATGTATTTTTTAAATATAAACTTTAATTTTTTTAGGATACTCGGTTTCTTTCAAAGAACTGCTGACTACGCTCTTGTACACTGACTGTAAATATAGAATATTTACACAATAATTTAACAAAAAAAAACCGAAACACTTAATGTATATTTATAAAACTTTAAATTTAATATGTTTTATCAAAAAATAATCTAATTTATAAAATATGCAAATATTAGAATTTTTTTCCAGGTAAATATTTATTTCTATAATGTGTTTTGTCCTCAATATATAAAAATGTGTTTAATAAATACAAATATTTCTTTCAAATGAATATATAATAATAGCAATAATATTTTTTAAATAAAAGTAATTATTATTGACTCATTTACTGTGCTAATATCTGCAAAAGACAGTGAGTCTAATATTCCTTTTTCTTTTCCGGACATCGAATGATACGTGAATTCAGAAATGCATGACGCACTTTTGCGAAAAACATCGAGATAAGCATAAATAGCAAGGAGGAAATCTCGATTAAATCATTAATTATAAAAAATAAATCCAGATGATATTACGGAGTAAATACGTGAGTTTCTGTACAAGTTTCTGTTTTTATCATTAGTACGATGCATACGTCTATAATTAAATTAAAAAAAATTTTTAATTAAATTAATATACAAATCAAGCAGTATATCAACTAGCAAAATATCAGTTTAACGTCGTGCATTGTTCGTTATGAACTACATCTCTAGTTCGGTTGACGTTCTAAAAAAGTATGAATAAACAATAAAGTGAAAAAGGCAGATTGTTCTATTTTCTGCTATTTTCTTTATCTTTTTGTATCTATTTTTTCATTTTTAGTACCAAACGTAACAATTTATAATAATTACCAATCTGAAAGAAGAATGTATACGTTCAATATATAAGAGGAACGCATAAAATATGAAATTACGTTTAGTATTAAATGAAGTGACATACGTGATGATATCTATATTATAAATTATTTATTTAATTTCTTCCCATTTGATTAAAAAATTAACGTTAAATCAATCTTAGCTCAAATTTAAGATTTTTAGTTTTTGCAAATAATATAATAATAATAAATTTTTCTCTTATCAAGTAAGACAGTCTAAAGATAATTAATTATGATAAGTGGGAGTATATACATTCACACTGGAATCAAGCATAAGCGCTCGAGCACCTTCGAGAGATCCGCGTTAATTAACGGGCCAGGATCAGACTATTAAACGCGTGAATTGACAGCAGGCAAAAAATTAAGAGGTCGTTATGTTTCCGTTCGACTGTCGTTAGTAACCCTTTCTCTGCTCATACTCCTCTCACAATCGAGAGGACGAACACGTCCTTCTTGTTGAAACTGTTGAGAACGGGCATTGAAGTCACCGACAGGCGCGGTTCTTTTTGACGATCAATGTCGTACTTAACGTATATTAAGATCATGGTGTTAATTATAGGCAAACTAGGAACATTGTTGAAATAAAAAATGAGATTTTATACAAATTATGATCGCAAATATAGACTGTGATATAGAATTCATTCAAATATGACGAAAGATGCAAATATTAATCTTCTTCGTAACTCTTCCGTTATAGGTAATAGTATAATAATAATAAAGCAATAAAATAATAATTAATATTATTTTTAAAATTAATTTTAATAATAAAACTATTATAAATAATAGGAATAAATTGTTTAATGTTTTTCTCATTTCTTTTTATAGATTTTTAAATAATCTGTTTAACAATAATTCATGTGAAAGTCCCAATTTACAGTTTTTATTCATCAATCACACAGTATGCTCGATCACGATCGTCACCGTGCGTTTTCACTTTATTTCCGTGACTCGCAGTCTCCGTCGTGTCATTCCGGTCTCCGCATTTACGCGAACGGCGAAAAAGCGGATTGCGATCTTCTGCTATCTTCTTGTTGACAAGCCCCAATCGGAATTCTGAGGAGGCGCGTGGAATCGGACGCAGGTAGCGTATGTCTTGTGATCGCAATCGATCGAGCGAACGAACGAATACGCGACCGCATGAATCGTACTTTTGTTACAACGAAGAAACAATCTCTCCGGGAGCGGGCTACAGCAGTCAGTCGTTCGCCCGGTCCGCAAGTAAAAAAGGATGAATTCCTAAGATGGACTAAATGGTGCTTGAAGAGCTGTCCCAGCGGGTAGCATACTGAGCGTACATACGTATCGCGCTTCCTTGGAATTACCGTCGTGGGAGGTAATGCCAATAGCAAGGCGGGATGTGAATGTATGAGGAAAGTGCAAAGAGCCATTCAGCCAGGAATCCAATTCTTTTGAAATTTATTTAGTCTTACTGCCGAACAAATTGTGTGCCGTGCAAAGGTCAAATGTACACTATTATTATATAACATTGATTTGATAGGAGCGTTTTTCTTTTATCCTGCCTAAAGATCACTCGGACCATCCAGAATATATTGATTGCAAAGCCACACGTTTGCGTATTATAAATAAAGAAAAAAAATAAGCCCCGTAAAATTCCGTCTGCTGGATACGGAAGAGTTAATAAAATGATATCTGCGCAGAATGGTGGCCATGGTGGTTGCTCCTACCAGGATGTTTGGCATCGTGGACGCGATACGTCGAGGAGTACGACTCCATTAGAGTGGCCAGGTGCGACGCTCGATGCGGGGAGAATCATTCTGACGAGGTACGTAAGATGAGGACACGTTGTACAAGCGAGATTATCTTAACTGTATCGCCATTAATATCTGTAATATTATTATTATCAGAGAGAGAGAGAGAGCGATATTTTGTGATAATATTTCATTTCAACTAACACTGTTATATAATCCTATATACTGTATTATATTGTATTGGATTGGAACAGTTCGTAATGCTACTTTATTTGTCTGTTTTTTTAAAAAAATTGACAAATACTATTCGAAGTTTCAGCTTTAAAATTCTGTTTATTTTAATTACTATACGACAATTTTTATCTAAGTTACGAGCAATTAAAGTCAAATGCTTTTTTATTTAATTCGCAATAAGCATTAACAATGAATTTTAGGAACATTTTTTAAAACTATTTTTATAAGAAAAACTTGAACGTTAACAAAACTTGCAAGTTTTTTTTAAAGTGCGTGACAGACTCACAAAGTGAGAAGAAAATTTCCCGTTTTGTCTAGTTCGTAATTTTCTATATGTAAAAACTTTTAGAAACTCAAAATTTTGTTCATTTTAACAAAGTTACAGCTGTTTGAATTTTGAAGTTCGTACAACATTACGAACTTTTATTCCAAATTAATTACTGTGGATTTCAATATAAAGTTATTAACACATGCAAAGTCGAGGATTTTTAATTAAGAATTTTTTTCTACGTTTGGATTACGTTAAAAAGCATTACTTGATAAACATTTGGAGGACATTATAAAAATTAACATTTCAGTTTGGAAGCATTAATGACAGGGTAGAATATTAGAATCGCACAAACACAATCATTATTCTCAACAAGTTCGATCGTTGTTGGCGCTTATGGCATCGACCCGCGCGTTGCAATCAGGCGGAATAATCGCTTCGATTAATCAACGCGCTACATTGTACGCCGCTGTCCGAGTGGAGATCGATTTTAATTTCGATGGCCGATTCGACACTCGATAGCGTCGCTAAATAAACTGGTTCTCGCAACGCTTTGTCGCCTTCTTAAGAATCGCAGACGCGGACATCGATGATTCATCCGGGGCTTGTCCAGGTTTTGCGGGTTCTCGCTCGCGTGTAATTAGTTATGCGAGTCCGAGCGTCCCTGAGTCCGCGCCCACTTGAATCTCATCGTCACGCTCGACGATTTATGAGGCACGCCGTGCCACCGTCCGTGGGACTTAACTCGAACGATGCTAATTCGGCAGTCAACAACGGCGAATCGATAACATTGTATATGGGTCATCTGCCCAAAGAAACCATGCCGTATCATATGCACGCCAAAACGGATGTTTCTCGACAAGTTCTTCACAAGTAAAAAATATAATTTCATTATTACGACCGCTTTGAGGCTTAAATTACATAAAGAGTTACAATAGTTAACATTAAGATTATCTTTATTTACAGAGAGATGTCTTGATTGCTACGTTAAGCCTAATCTACATTACGTAAACGTATAGTTGTAAGAATTGACCAACCACAAATATTTTCCTTATAAGAAAAACGACTCAGAGAGTGACTGGATCTATATTTATGTCCGGACAGTTACACAAAACTTTATATACTTGTTTATATTATTATTAATTTCAAATACTTTTAATATAATATTAAAATTTAATTGTAATCTTTAAATACAATTAAATTATAATATTGTAATAAAAAAAAGTATGTGAGATTAATAATAATAAATTTTGTGTAAATGTTTAGACATAATTATTATTATTTCACTGTGATTGATCAATTCTTACAACTGCAACTATTTACAACAATTAAACTACGCAATTGTAGAATAGGCTCGAATTTGAATTAACCCTTTGATATCTCCAATAGCATCTTACGATTCTAATATCTTCGCGTATCACAAATGAAGATAAAGTATATTCACAATACGACTAGTGAAAATTAAAGACTTTAATTAGTCACGCGATAACGCCACGACCAATATAAGAGACAACATCCATTGACTTGGCAGTAACTCTTCAGCGAACTTGGCCGCTTTACTGCTAATATTTTTCGCCGGCGTGTATACACACGTCATTACAGCAAACGGTCCCGAAATGATTCCGGAGAGTCGTTGATGGAGTGGAGGCGGTTGCGAGAGGACGAGGTGGGATAGTGGACGAGAAGGAATGACAAAGAGATAGCCCTCAAGCTTTGACTGGCGGCCAGCAATAAAGTTTCGAAGTAATGGCCTATAAAAGAGTTGCGCCGCGCGCGGCGCAACTCACTAAGTCCGGATGTACACCTATGGCGCACTAGAAATGTATCTTCCGACATTATCGAAAACAGGTTCTTATTCTGAAGTACCGACGATCAATCTTCTCGATGGCACTCGACTGCATCGTGCGCTTTTGCGCGGCGCGTCAATCTTCGGGAACTCCGCGATTGCAAGCGATCGACGAAGCTTTCCGTTTCCGGCATCAATAGCACAAAGGCGGCAAAATTATCTTTGGCGGTGAAATTAATTCCTATTGATGCTGCGTGGGTATATCTGGCGCTAACAAACATATAAAAATAGAGAAATAGCGAAACGTGATAATGAAAGGATTGGATGCATAAACTGGATAAGTCCAATTTGTAAATTACATTGTAAAAGTGACTTTATTGCACGTGTTAAGGTACGAATTATGAATTTACCACAAACCTACATTTTCTGGTCGCTACTTGAATTATTTTTGTAGACATCCTCTATGCCAAAGAGTGGGAACAATTTTTGGATTAATAGATAAAGTTCTTTCGTTGTCCCGCTCTATTTTCCATCAGGAAAACTTTGAATAATTCAAATTCTTATAAACAATGGATACCCATTAAAACTCATTTTCACTAAAATCAAAAGAAGGTTGTAAAAAAAAATTCAAACAAATGAACGATCAGGTTAACACATCTAAAGACAATACAACAGACAAGAATGATGGGAAAATTAATCACAGATTTTTCACAATAATTGTTATTCCATTTTTATCGGAAAAATAAAAAAATTTTTTTAAAAAGAGTCCGTAGAACACATGGCATATAAAGGGATTAATAATCTTAAAAAGTTCATCAGGGGTCATAAAGAGACGTTTGTTCCAATCTATCTCGGACAGACGTTGTATATAAAATTGATTGTCGAGATTGTGAAGCATCGTATGTGGGTTAAACAGGTAGATGTTTGAAGACACGCATTAATGAACATAGGAATCATATAAATTGGAACACGACACACCATTCTGTAATAACTAAACACAGAATTAATCATTAACATAAATTTGATTGGGAAAATATCAAGATATTAGGTGAAGAAAGGATACTTAATAAAAGATTAATATCGGAAATTATCTATATAAAGCAAAAGAAACAGAGTTTAAATTTACAAAATGATACTTATTTTTTAAACCCACTATATATGAATTTGTTTACGGAATCGTTGACGTGCTTCTTCTCCTTTTTCTTCCCCTTATGTTCTTTATAGTTTTATTTTTATTTCAATAACTACTTGCCTTTATTATTTTGCCTTTATTCTCATTTCAACTCTAACCACTGACACCACAAAAACTTTATGTCGAGTCGTGTGACAATGATTACATGTAAGTCTAATAAAATTTAAACTCAGACAAGTGATTTTATTTATTCTCTTTGTTAATTTCCGTTTTTCTTATGAATAACTAAATAGAAAATCTGACAATTTGATGAACGAGATGGCTTTGACTTTTGACATAATGTATATAACACCGTTTTTATTTTATCCAAATTTTTATAATATTATTGTTAAAAATTTTAATATTTATGATAATCACAACGTATATGACACCGTTTTTATTTGTGTAAGTTTTTATATATCATTGTAAAAATTTTGTATTCGTAATATTCATTTGGCTATTCTTTATATAGCTAAATTGGCATTTGGATAGGAAAGAACGTGTGAGTTTGTCATGCTTCACCACCTTAAATAGATAATTGCACCGACTTTAATTACATTTTTTTAATAAACTTACTTATATAATTTAGAATTAGATTCCATATTGATAAGGACCCAAAAGAAGGGTTGAAACGTTTATGATTTTGTTATTGTTATTCACACGAGAATAAAGACACTTATGTGCACCCGAACAGCTGGTTTTGGCTCTTATTGGCTTTTTTTATATATATATCTTATTGATTGATTCGTTCGAGCCTCTTTTCATTGGTTTATTTTAATGATTTTAATTCGTTCAGAGAAGGTAAAGAGTAATATTCAAAGTATATACTAGTTCAACCATGCTTATAGTAATTACTTTTTTCCAGTTATTTTTGGAATAGTTTAAATTCTCTACTTTTCATTTCATATTATATATGAAGGATAAGTATTTTTAATTTATAATTTGAAGATAGTTCCTGATTAGTGTTAATTTGCACTCTCGTTTCCGTGAAATGTTATTCATTTGTTTATGTGTCATTCCCAATTAATGTTTGAAGTGCAAAACATTCATAGAGTATTTACAAAGCATTATTTCTGTCGAGATATTTTGTGCACGTTCCATTGGAATTTATAGCGTAGTATTTTTATCTTCGCGCAATCCATTACATAATTTTCCGCATTCTTTTAATAGCATTTACTTTGCTTTAATTAACTGAAGTAAACTTTGCAGTTTGATCAATGACGCATTGCTTTAGCGAATGCTAATAAAAAAAAGAAATAATTAGTATTTATCATTAATTAACTTAGTCAATATAGTCATCAAAATGGAATTTCATTAATAATAATTTTATATGCTTGTGTTATAAAAATATAGAAGAGACCAGGGAAAAAATGTAATTGTCCACTGTTACTACAATTAACTTCATTAGCATTAGCATATTTAACTGTTATTGCGAAACTTCAATTTGAAAGTAACGTTTAATGAGCAGACATGAATTTTTCAATATCAAAGAAGCGGCATCCTTTAGAATGTTGATGCAAAAAAAGATAAACCATTGCTATGACAATCGACTTCGTTAGCGCGATCATTATATCGCGGGGAACTCCACTGGAAATTTGCCGATCAAATGCAAGTTTCACATGCGGCATCGTTTTGATTATTAATTATTGGTGTCATTGCGAGGGAAAGAATACGTGCGAAAAGAAACGAAGTACAAGGGAAAGAAGAAGATGAAGCGAAAAGAAAACGACGCTGGTGAATCGCCAATGGGCAATATAATTTTCTTAACGACGGCGATCGGCGGCCGGCCAATTCTCGCGATGAACTTCGATGGAAGGCCGCCTCGGCTATATCGATCTTAATGAATACTTCAAACTGCGATCTTTGCGAAGTCTTTAATTGGGGTAGTCCACCGATGCAAGAAAGATCGGGAGGAAGAGAGAAGAAAAGAAAGCGGGTCCGCGGGGGAGGTGGAGGAAGATGGAGCAAGGATCGGCGTGCATGATTTTTCAGTATTGCCGATCGACACTATCGGCGATCTTCGCGGCGGACTACATTAGTCTCCTGCCATACCCTAATCTTCGCGATCACTTCACGACGGCCGCGCGCTCCAATCTTCGCGAAGAAGCTCTCGACTGGAACAGATCGGCTCCTACGCGCCTTCGGCACGATCGACAAAGAAGACGATGCCTCTTTGCCGATGCAGAGAGGGACAGAAGAGCGAGATCTGGTGAACTTCGTTAGCCTTCTTATACATCTTTGATTCGCGTGATCGCTTCGGATATCACTCTACAATCTCGGCGCGCTTCGGCGAAGTTAATTCTTCGACCGTGACGACGCTTCATCAGATCGCGCACCTCGAATTGCTCTTTTCACCCTTTTACGTCCCGAGGGCGATTATCACTCGCGATGCAAGTACCACGAAAGTGACAATCGTTCATTTATTTCTTACATACGATGTACGTCGAAGAAAATGTATCAGAGAAAACGTATAAAACTTCGTTATCTGTAGAGAATGGAATTCCAGTCAATATGATAAACAGTGCCTGTATAAGTTAAATTTTTATGAAGTGTCATATAGAGATTCGTATCTCATATATAACTCTTTTCAGATTATTTATTAATTTATAATATTACGTGTATTTTGTATTTATACAATTTTATATATATTATATACTGTAATTCATATTTTATTTATTTAATTGAAATTAAAAAAAAAAGATTCTGGAATAAGAATTTTGTAGATTAAAAAATTATCATATAATGTATCCACCCCCGAAACTGTCAGCATGTGAGAAGAACATAATTAACTTATACAATTATCTAATTATACAATTATATACTTCTAATAACACGTCAAAAAACTCGATAATAAATAGAAATCAATTCTGATAATATTATACGCCGAGATTCGATGTAATATTCCCGTTTGGCTTGCAACATATCTTAACTGACAACGGAATGCGGAAGTCAAGCTAGCAATCGTTTTCGTATTTTTGTGGAAAATGTAGTCAACAAAGAAACAGATAGAGAATGAGATAGGGAGAGGAATCGGAGATAGGAAGGGAAATAAATATTATGACACATTGAATATTTATGCATATATGTGTATATATAGAGTCCATTTAACTCGAAAGCTTTGAATATTTCACTTATTTTTGACGATACGAAAAAATATTTTAGATAAAAGTGGAACTGTTTTGTAGGAGATGTATTTATGTTGTGTTTCTTTTTAAGCGGAGAGACGCTATATAATTGCAATGCTCGAGTATCTCGTGGTATAAATTATTGCATCGTCAGCAAATAATTTCAATTCACAATTTTTGTTAATGATCGTATCCATGTCATTTATGTATAACAAGAACAACAACGGACCCTTAACCGATCCTTGTGGTACCCCTATTTCAGCTTTAGCTGATTCAGAGAAATCCATTATATTTAACTTTTTGCATTCTACCTTGCAAATAACTTCTAAATCATTTCAATACAATATCTTGTATACCATAACATTTCAATTTATTTAACAAAATCTCTCTATCAACAATCTCAAATACTCTTTTTAAATCTAGTAATATTACACCTATCATCCTTCCCTCACTTATAACTTTTTTGACCCTATAAAATTTAATAGTATATGTGTGTAAAAATATTCAATTAATAATTTTCTAGTTTCTTCTGTACAAAATAAAAAATACTATGTCGTAATCTGGTTGTTTCTGAATACACGGTTCTGCTCTGTGGAGCAACGGTATGGATAATCGGGAGTCTATTCAGGCGGTGCCCGAACAGTCTCCGAGAATCCCCTGGGAAAGGGAGCAGGCATAATAAAGGAGTAATGCGATACGTATGATTTCGCTAACAATATATTGATCGCAGCGTTACTGACAATGCGACCCTCACATTGTGAACTTTATTAGCTGGTCAATGGCCCCAAGCAATCACCGTCGACGACGTTGTCCGGTGCGGTGCCACGGGTTCGTTTCGCTCGGCGTGTTCGCTTCCCTCTGTAAAAAGTAGGCCAATAAGTATGCGAACCAGTTTCCCTGACTGTTCGAATGACATATGTCGCGGTCGTAACAGCGCGACAACGAGTAAACGATCTCAAAAATGTTCCTGGATTTCTTCCGGGAAGAGCCCGCGATTTGTCATTTTGCAAATCTTATCAGAACTTGTCGCAAAGGTCGCCAGCTCTACCCACGTATCAAAATGCCGTCAATCTTTTGACTTCTGGGATATTTCTAATGTCAACATCAGTTTAAGACATCCTAATTATATTTAAAAAGAAAATTAATTTGCTCTTTTCTTGGTTTTTTTTATCACAAGTAATTACGTAATCTTTGATTTTTAAAATAATCTTTAAAGTAAAAGCTCGTAACGACGAATTATGTCGCATTGCTGATAACATCGTGCGTTTAATGCATTTAAATATTTGAATCGTTTATCTAATATATTTACACTATTTTCTTGTATAATTTTTGTATAAATCAGCTGTATAAATGATATTGTTTGTACTTATACAATATTACATTTCAGAAAAAATCTTTTACATGCTATTAAGTTTATTCCTTTTTTACAGAATTTATTATAAAAATATTATATATGTATTCGGTGATTTAGAGTAAGAGATATGATGTGGAAAGTCATATATATGATTTTTATGATTATTTAAAATAATTATCGATAAAGATGCTTTGATTATATGTCATACTTTATATGCAACAAAAATCGCACTAATTGTAAGTAGCAGCTTCGTCAAGATCGTTTGTTTGTAGTAAAAATAAGGTATTTTCTTCGAATGATTCTTTATGACCTATCTAGTTACACGCATATGTCACTAAGTCACTATATAGACGATATAGCAGACTATAAACCAAGCAACATCCGGCATAGTTCTGCGAAGGAAACATGCTGCGTTACAATTATAAATGACGACTCGCGACTCTTCCTTTTACGCGATATGTCTATTTTAATGCAGGTTTTGATGAAGCATAATCTCGAAATTTGATACAATGTAGGTACTTATTTTAACGAGACTTTGAAAATTTGCTTTCAGTTGCTATTAAGCTTAACGCACTTTGCAGACACCATATTACGCTTGTAATCATACGTCTTACACGTCGCCGACGTTTATCTTAAATGTTGCATTTTTTAATCGACTTTGCTGGACCTGCTTTCTCGCGTCTACATTGTACGAAAATGATGACGGCATAAAAACACAGCAACATGCGTTACTCGAATGCGTACATATTAGGTTGGAATATATGTATATGTTTTATATATATATATATATATATATATATGAAAGGGCATCTTCGTCCTGATGATCAGGAATATGCCCCGAGGCCCGTTTAAAGGATCCGAACTCGCATTTCGTATTTGAACAGAATCGAGGATCGGCAGTTTCGTAACTATGCAGCGAGAATTGGCTTCCACGAAAATGGCAGGGAAGTTCTCAATCGTGGTAAAACTCACCATCGGCAGCGATTTGTTGTATTTTTATTTTTTCTTTTTACATAACGATTAGCCGTATTTTTTTTTGGTACCGACGGGATTGGATCGGATCGAGAGACGGAGAGCAGATCGAAAGCATTTCAATTAAGATGAAGTTCGAGCTGGCCTTGATAAACCCGCCTCGTTGAAGGAATGATAAAGAAATAACTTCGTATATGAGTCGCTGGATGAAAAAGCAATATAAATCAACAAAAATAAGATATATACATATATATACTTTACAGCTTTTATCAATAATAATTTTAGCAAAATATTAAAAAAGATTGTTTAAAATACTTTTTACGAAATCTTACAAAACCTTAATGTATTTAAGTTCGTGATGTTTTTAATGCATTTACTTCGTAATAGAATTATAATAATATCAATATATGGATTTTATTGGCTGTCTTAGATATTAATTAGAGCAGTAACAATTATAATAAATTTCTTAATTATGTTTGAATAGTAATTCTTTGAAATAAGTCTTTATCAAATTGTATGAAGATACTTACATGATACTGTATACTGCACTTATGCTAAAACATTATTAGGATATATAAGAATCTAAGCAACGGTTTTTTCTTGCATCATAAACGTTTTTGTATCACACTATCGACTTTGTATTCGCGTAAATGACATTTTCATTAATGATGGTGATGATGACACCATCATGCAGCGCAAAACTTGAGCCACTTATATATAGCCATTTCAAGACGAATGCTAATTATATAGATAAGTATCCTTAAACATATCTAATTATATATATATATATATATATATATATAGATACATACGTGTTTATGAAATTTTTATAATTTATGGATATTACATATGCATTGGTACATTTCTTAGTGATAAGATGTGAGGAAAAAAATGTCAGATGTACAGAAAAAGTTAGGGGAATGAATATGTTTAAATGAATCCTTTCGTATCATATTTTGTCATCATGCTGTAGTGCGTGGAAAATTGCTTGGCGTCGAATTACACGAAACCTGGTTATTGTCCTGAGAGAATGTCCATGACGCCCTTCGAAGCTGCTTGTTTGATCGCCTGCATCGATGACTCCCGCTGTCCGGATTTGGCAAAGTGTTGCTCTCATGATTGTGGCATCACGTGCATGCATCCCGTCGGTTTGGACAGTCGAAACGGTGAGTGTGGCAGTTGTTATTTTGGCTGTGTCCCAAATTTACTGTCAACGCTGATAATGCTATGTGCAATATAGGTTTTCAGTACTGGTAGCCATTTTGGAACACAGCCTTTGTAAGTCATGTATTTATTTCCCATTCGTATCTGTATCATGTAGATTAGTAATTTTTTAAATTGCAAAAACGACACAAAGATAAAGACTTTAAAAAGTAAGTTTTACACTGTAAAAAAGTAAGTTTTACACTGTAAAAAATACTCAAAGTGGAAAGAATTAAATGTGAGATTGTGCGATTTGAGTTAAGTGAAGTATAATATCAAGTCAAGAAGAATAAAAATCTAAATAGACGAATAACTTCACTAATTAGATGAATAACTTCACGTAGTAAAATGTACTCAAAAGTTTAATCAAAGTATATGATTGACCGATCTGAAATATGATTAAGTGTATTAATATTAAATATTCATTCAACTACTACAAGGATGATTTAACTGCGTAATAATAATAAATCTGCATCTACATGGAGATCAAACCAATCATGGAGAAAAGTACATTGAACTAATTATTTACGTAATTTAATGATAGGGCAGTACAGTCATAAGCATATTTACAAAGTTGACTAAATCATTATTACTGGTACACAGTAAAAAAATTTTTTGTTTTTATTTTTATATTTATTACTACATATATATACACAGCACTTAATTCTGAGGAAGAAATCTGAGGAATATCATAACATTATTATCGTCTATTATATTAAGCTACATCAACCTAACATTACAATGCTACGACTGCGTTCGGATTCTCACCTGGGTGCTCCCCGGATCATCCATGTTGTTTACCGAACGTTAAACAAGAATGACATGACACCCGAGGAGCACCCGGGTGGGAATCCGTACGCAGCCTACCGTAGTATGAAAGAAAATGGCGCTGAATCATGTGATTTAGCAAACCAATCAGATCATTTTCTCACCTGTCGCCTCTCTGTTAATCTAAGATTCTACTCGCAATATCAAAGCAATCCAAAAAGAAAATAAAATTAAAGTAAATATTTAAGATTAAAATTTAATTAAACGGCCCAAATTAAAGGAGAACTCACCGGCTTCCCGAATAGATTTCCAAAAACGTCAGAGTCATCAATTGATCCTCAATTCTCATTTCTCATTTGCCTCGTATCTTATATTTGATCTCGTATCAGCTGTGTTTCCAAAAAGCAATAGTAAAAATTTAAATGCGCAGTTTTTTTGCAAGATACACTTCCTGGTAATATCACGCAATGGCCGCGAACAGATACCAACACGGATTCCTCCCAGCCATATCACGCAATAGCAACGTAATCAAATCCAAATGTTAATTAATGTACATGTGACAGATTTAATTACATTTTGAACAAACTAACAAAAGTAATTCATTAAAAATTTCGTTAATAACCAATTCTTGACACTCGGTAGAAATAACTCGCAGATCCTTCTCCTTCGAGCACCAGCAGCGGAATCCGAATGCCAACGTTTCGTGAACCTTGGAGGTTACTTCATCAGGGCGAGGAGCAGCCTGATACTGAGCTATTTCTCTGGCCTCCGGGTCGTTCCCTTTATATAACGCTGCTTGTTAGAGTGATGGGGGAGGGGGGAAGAAGAGAATTGGGGTATGGGTGGAGAGGAAGGTAGGGGAGGGAGGAGTGAGGAAAATCGGTCTTCAATAACTGGGAGGATAGTCTTCCATATTTTATTTATGTTGTAGCCATTGTCTCTATTTAGATTATTAGGGTGTTTTAGTATCTCTATAGCCTCTCTATACTTTCTTAGAAAGTATGATGTAATGTTGGATATTGTGGTCGTTTTGTCAAATAGTATTTGATGTCCTGTTTCGATGTTGTGTTTTGATAACTACCGACTGCGTGGCGTGTTTTAACCTGACATTACGTTGGTGTTCTTTTATCCGTAGGTTGACCATTCTCCCGGTTTCTCCAATGTATACTTGTCCACAGGAACAAGGTATTTTGTATACTCCTACGCAGCTGAGTGGAGGTCTTTGATCTTCAGGATTTCTCAAGATTTGTCCTATCTTTTTGGATGGTTTGAAGATAGTTCGGATATTGTGTTTATTTAATATCCTGCCAATCTAATCCGTTGTTCCTTTGACTTATAAGAGAATGAATAGAATCCTTCCGTCTGGTTGTGTGTTAGAGACCGTGGTTTTATTAACTAACAATCTAAATAGAGACAATGGCTACAACATAAATAAAATATGGAAGATCATTCTCTCGATTATTAAAGACCGATCGATTTTCCCCATCTCTCCTCCCACCTACACAATTCTCTTTTTCTCCCCATCCCAACCACTCCAACAAGCAGCGTAATATAAAGTGAACGGCCTGGAGGAACAGTTCAGTATCAGGCTGCTCGCCCTGATAAAGTGGACTGCAAGGTTTACGAAAGGTTGGCATTCCAAGAATGGATATGGACACGGAGAAAATCCGCGAAACGCATAGTCTTCAAATAAATTCAATGTTTATTTAACACAAGAAAGATATTAAAGATAGTTAAAGTGCTTCTTGACGCAACCCGACAGTTAGTTCGCCGTATTTAACTCTGAGATTGAGTTGGTTTACCTCAATTCGAAGTTCAATTTCCTGATCTTTTCTTACAGTGTAGAAATATAAGCAGATATTAGGACCTTCCTCATTTAATTTTAAATGGACTTTGTTTTGCTCGAGTTAAAATTAAAAAATAAATTACAAAGATAATTAATGTCATAAATATGTGGAAAATAAGGAAAATTCATGAAATGTGCTCTAATTCGACGTTCTAATTACGTAAAAATTAACTCTTAATTAAAAAATCTGCAAATGTATAAAAAGCTTGTTAAATCTACTGTAAAACTATTTACTTATTGTGAATAACGATGTCCAATTTAAATTAGATTTGCCAGTTATACCTGAGAATCTACAGATACAACAACAAAAGAGAAATCTAGTACTTCTAACGTGGCGCAATAGCAGGTCAGGTATCAGCAACGTGTCCGCTAACGACAATGACAGAGATGTTCGGTATTTAGTCGAAGAGCGTCATTTGGTCGGCCCTAGGTTCATAGAATCTAGATTGAGTTCTTGGACTGTATGTCATGTGTCGACGAAACCACACGCGACCCTTCGAAGTAGGCTGAAAACAGGACACTGGTATCAGTTTCGTGTGGCGGCTGTCAATGGAAATGGATCACGCGGATACTCGCAACCTTCCAGGCCCTTTAAAACGAAAGGTGAGTGTATTATACAGGACGTCCAAGAATGACCGCCAAATATTTTGTGGACTGGTAGAGCGAACTAAACCGAGTCAAAAAGTCCTTTACCATTTTGCAATTTTTGCAATAGTCAAACTTTAACAGTCTAGTCGCTAAAATAGCAAGCAAATAAATGAAAGTTTAATAAGTTTAATTTTGTAAAGTAAAAAATATAAGAATACAATTAAAAAAAATATGTACAAAATAGTTAAGATCACTTTACTTGTTATATTTTTTTCAAAATCCTAATAAAACAAACTTATTTGAAGTTTCTTTAGTTGAGACTATGTACCTAGCCTTTTCATTGTCATATATTTAATATATAATAATTAAAAGAAATAATATAACATATTAATATTACATATTGGTATACAATATATTATACTGTATATCAATATGTAATATTAAAATAAAAATATATATGAATTAAATAAAGTGTCTTGAATTTAATAACTAAAAAGGATAAATACTTTTATATCAAATTATTTTCCAAAAATTATTTACCGAGTAAATTACCGTAAAATTTGGTTATTTTCATCTCTAATTATAATGTCAAATATTGACATTATATTAAAAATAAATTATTATGTCAAGTATTATCTTAAATGAGTCTCAAATGAGAGAGAGAGAGAGAGAGAGAGAGAGAGAGAGAGTCTGGATTGTTAATATATTTTTATATAAACTTTCTACCATCATCACGATCATGCCAAACGGGTTTAGTTCATAAAAAAAAGAATAATTAATATAATGAACGGTTCACGTATCAACGGATCATGTGAAACCGGATTAAGTATTCCCGTCGCGTTTTTAAACAGATAAAGAATCAGCTAGAAATCACATCTGTGCACGGTTATCATTTTGAATCAGCCGAGTTGAGATGATTCATTCTACTACTTCATTTACCTTCAATACCTTTAGTTACCAAAAGAGGACACATTTTGTATTAGTAAATAGAATAATTTTTATATAATATATTTGATCAGATTATTCTGTAATTTATTGAATTAACTTATATTAAATATAAATATTAAATATACATTGTACAATTTCATAAAAAAATATTTTACATATTATTAAAAAATTGATCAAAATACCGCGTGTTAATTCAGAAAAATTTCTACATATAATATACATATAGAAAAAAACATATAGAATAAAAAATATGTTTATTATCGAATTGCAACAATCGTTTACTACAGTGAGAAATTATTTTCTTCATTATGTTCACTGCAGAACGTATACACGAAGCATGTAGTTTTGTTATATAATTAGCATTGCACTGTGAAAAAGCAATGATCTAATGGCGTCTCCTCGGTTGCAGAACCACGGAACCCGAAAGAACCTCAGAACTTGACTTTGTCTAACGCTCGGCTCATTGGTGGAAAGCTGCGTATTAATTTACGATGGATTAAACCGACGTCGGACGTGCCGATATCGTTTTACAAAATATTTTGGAGCAGATTTATCCACGGACCAACAAATGATTCTATTCTCGTCTATCATAAGACGATTCTTAAAGTAAGTTTTCTTCATTATCGTTGGCAGATTTCTTAAAATTTGATTTTTATTTGCACAACAAGATATAAAAGAAATTAAATTAATTTCATCTTAAATAATTAAATGTAAACGTATAATTTTAAAAGAGGTGTCATCTCGATATATGCTCAGGATTAGAAAAAAATAAAATTGAGACATATATATATAAATCGAGATATATATATATTCACTTTAAATCGATTAATTTTTATATTATATATTAAATTTAAATACTAGGTCGGAGGAAAAGTTCTGCGGTATTTTTTACATCAAAATTGTATATACAATATCTTCGTTAAAAATTATAAAAATTTAAATTTAAAAATGGACTTTAAAGCTTAAAATTTCTACTTTCGAATGATTACCAAATTTTTTGAATTCATGTGAGTTTTGTAATTTTTATATATAGAAAATGATCTGAAAAAAATGGAAAATTTTCTTTGCACTCTGTAGGTTCGTAGCATGCCCAAAAAAATTTGAGCAAATTTTCGACTATCTATCGTAAAAGCTTGAAGCTTTCCCTACAAAATATAATAACACAGTTCTATAAAAAAATATTTTTTGTATCCAGGAATGACAATATGTAATTCTAATGGTTTTTAACATGCTAAAATCAAATTCGCAGCTAAAATTGTTCCATCACATTAGGTTTTTGAGATATCCTAATCTTAAAGTGCCAAAAAGTTTTTTCGGGCATATTTAAATTAGAATAACTCGTAAACTTCATATGATGAAAAAATATGGGCTACGGATTCGAATTCAGCATGAAAAAGTCTACGAAAATCACTTATGATTATAAATGAGTTAACACAGTGAAATAAAAAAAAATTGAGATGTTAGTAGAGCTCGAGAAAAGAAGTCGGGTAACTTAAAATTCATAGACACAGGTATCCGTCCGCAGATCCGTTACCTGTGCATACGGCTTTGAACTGATTCCGCGGGTACCTGCTAATTCGGGTACCTGCAGAACTGTATACGATGTGAGTACCTACCTGCTAATTCGAGCACCCACAGAACCGTCTGCAATACTGCTACCCGTTTCAATGCGGATATCCGCTATATGCTACAGATATCTGCGTGTAACTTTATCAATTTAAAAAGTGTTTAAGAAAGTGTCTATACTAATTTTCGTTTTGTAGTTAAATAGTTTGAATTAAGGATGTACTGGTCGTACAGTCCTTGCAAAACAAATTAAATTTGGAAATGTGTTTAATATCCATAATGCGAAAACGAAATAGTTTAGCTACGGAATATTTTAATTACAAATATGTTCGAAATGTTCAGGATCACGTATTGCTGTTTCTGGATCAAAGTTCATGTCAGCCTGTGTAATTAATTATGATTAATTAACCTATTATTAATTAATAACAATTTTTAGCTTAATTTTGAATACTCCAGATTTTGCCGATAATTTTTTCATCCGACTAAACGTTTTTAGCGTAATCGAGTTTTTTGTATTTGCTTTTCAGGATAAGACCTGCTATGAATTGAAAAATTTGGAACTCAAGTGCCAGTACTTCCTTCAGGTGCAGGCGGTGGCGATGTACGGCGGTCGGCGTCTTACTTCACGCAAAGCATCCAAGGTCTTCAATAGCACCGATTATATGGCGTACGGTAAGGTACCAAACTGACTCGATCCTCGATAATGATAGCTCATCAGTCCTTCCCTCAGTCTCCCTTCTAAGTCCAGTGTAATCGGGATAACCAACGAAAGCAGTGACCTTTCATTGAAGCCGACATCGGGAGACGTTCTCGCAGATGCGAGCGAACGCAGGCTGGTCTTCATGTGCGTCGCATGAATTGCCATTGTGGAGAGATCAAGGCGCGTCTAGTTTGGCCAACAAGCAGCGACGCTAGCATGTATAATATCACTTGGCAAGAGGAGTCCTGTTCACGCAAGAAAGGTCCGGAACATCGTCGGAAATCCAATTCTTGGAAAGTGGTTCAGGTATGCTGATTTCGAATTCCTTTGTTGTTGTATTTTCATAAAGAACAATTATTGCTGTGATTGACAAATTCTCGTAAATTTAATAAAAAATATATAGAATACATCTCAATGTAAAATTACGTACCGAATTTAATTGTACAATTATATAACAACAAATAGTAACAATAGTAAAAAATGATGAGATAACTTATAAATAAATATAGTAACAATATAGTAACATGATTTATAAACAAGTTGTTTTAAAGAAAATATTAAAAAATTTTTAGTTCCTAATATTGTATTTGTTTTAATTGTTAATAGAATTATAATTGCAGTTCTGTAAAAAATAAGAATTCTATAAATATTTTTGTTGAAAAGAGCATTAAGCTTGCTTTTGTTATCTTAATTATTGCTTCAATTATTTCATAATTTTCTAGGATGAGTTCCGAGTTATGCATGAAGCGCATGATGTATCATTTTATCCTTTTTCATTATTTAGTGAACAATAAGGACAAATGATGCATCATGTGCTTTATGCGTAACTCGGAACACATCCCTAGACTTTGAAACAATAACATATTTAAAAAACACATATATACCTATTCTTTAGAATGACCACACATATGAATACATCAAATACGATAGAGAACGCCATCATTTCGGTTCCGGGAATTTTTCTCGACTTTCTGGGGCGAGTGTCTTGAGGTGAAAGTCGAGAGGTCTCAGGTTCGAAACCTGGCTGAGGTAATATTTTTCGCAATAACTTCTTTACAGTTTTTCTAATTTAATTTAGGGAGAATTTAGGGAGATTAGTAGCGTTTCAGACTGATTGTGTTGAAAGTCCGAAAATTATCGGAGCGCAATCATATCTAAAATTAATTTATTTAATAAAGAATTTATATTGTATTGTTCAAAACATCTAACTTTGATTGAAATGATGGTGCTCTCTGTTGTATTTGATGTATTCATATTTGAAAAAGTTTAGCAATGCTTATTACATTGTTCAATTTAGGACTGTGCAAAACAGATTTTTAACAAAACAATTTCAATATGTGAAATTATTTCGAATAGTTGTATCAAAACACCTGATTCCAAATTTAATTTTTAATTTAAAATATTAAAAAATTTGAAATAATTATGATATTCTTTTTCCCAAATCTCGAATCCCATTATTTAAGAAAAGAAAATAAAAAAAATATTTGATAATATATATATTAACACTCATAGCAATGAAAACGAAAATGAGAAATGAGTCTCGCTATATCTTAACCTCATCTATCGTATGATTAATTTCAGGCATCTCACTATGATTTGCGACAGCTTCAAAACGACTGCATGTATAGTGTAAATGTACGAAATATATTAAAAAATAGCGAAAATATCGGTCATGGTACTAGTATAGAGTTCTTCGCAACGGGATGTCAAGACGATCAGAAACAGCGGAAGTATTCGCGGAGAAAAACGATGCGATGCAAAACAAAATCGTCATTTCAAGGTCATGCCGTCTATGCCACATAATACATCTTTTCATACCATAAAAATTATGTCTAAGACATTTTGTCGAAAAATGAATAGTTTCGGAAATAATTGTTTGCTTCCATACTTTTTCCCCACCCTGTATATATTAACACTCATAGCAATGAAAACGAAAATGAGAAATGAGTCTCGATATATCTTAACCTCATCTATCGTATGATTAATTTCAGGCATCTCACTATGATTTGCGACAGCTTCAAAACGACTGCATGTATAGTGTAAATGTACGAAATATATTAAAAAATAGCGAAAATATCGGTCATGGTACTAGTATAGAGTTCTTCGCAACGGGATGTCAAGACGATCAGAAACAGCGGAAGTATTCGCGGAGAAAAACGATGCGATGCAAAACAAAATCGTCCAGATCTACAAAACAGTTTTCCGGTTTATTTGTGATAAATAAATAAAAATAAATAAACTTTTGGTTTATTTGAACGTATACGCAAAGCAAACGAATTGTAAGCTGTAATTGTAATATTTATAAATTATTACGAATGTAATTATTACAATTATTAACAAAATTATGAATTATTACAGTTATTAACAATACTTTCTTCATAGCTTATGAATATTGCTCTATCATCTTATAATTCAATTGTGCTTTGTGTGGAACAGTTACATAAATTCGATAATGCGATATTGCAACAACTTTTTAATGTCAAAACATAATTTTTCAAAGAAAGCACGAGGCCCTCTAAAATTTTTTCACAATAAAGCTCTAAAGATCAAAATAATTTTAGATTTTTTTATATACTACATGAATGTTTCTACGTTTAATATTATGTTTATTATGAACATTCATATAAAAAAAAAATAATTTGTTTATATGTCTCTTTGATGTTGAAAATGTATAATTTTAGCATGGCTCGCATTACAGTTTTATGTTATCCTGAAAATGAAAATGGTTCTTCATTTCAAATGCTTGCGCTTCCGAATTAGATGATTTTATTTTTTAAAAATAAACCATTGCAACAAATATAATAAAATACTGCAGCGAAAAGATTTTAAAAAAGTTAAGTCGTTTATATTACTGAAAATTTTATTAATCTTGAGCTTTGATCCCTTTAATTGATTTAATTCATATTTTGCTTCGATGGAGCTAAAGTATAGTTGAGTTTTGTTGCCGAATATGGAATTTATTTTGCAGACAGATAGACGGCTGGATTAACATAATGAAATTATGAAGTAGTTTGCTACGCTGCATTATTATCAATAAATATATGAAATAGAAAAAAATTTAAGGTTCCTGAGTAGTTATCTCAGCCATATTGAATCGTGACGTCATAAGCAAGAAATGACACATTGATTTTTCTTGCATGTCATTTGTAAATAAAGAGAATTTGAATGAAAGAAAATAACAAGATCGTTTTAAAATACTTGTAAAAATGGGCCAAGACTATTCTTATCTCTCCTGAGTCAGTATAATTAATCAAAAAAGGTTCATGAAGTAAAAATGGGCTACGCATGCGCATTAAGTAAAAATTGGTAAACATATTTTACGTTCCTTTTACGACTATTTATTGACTGTCAGGGGAGGCAAGGATAGTTTCGGTCTATTTTTATAAATTTTTTAAAGCGATTTCATCATTTTGTTCCAAAAATTTTGTTTCATCCAAATTCTCTTTATTTACAAATGGTATGCAAGAAAAATTAACATATCGCTTATGACACATTTCCCGCTTATGATGTAATTCAATATGGTTGAGGAGTCTTGAAGACTCAGGAGCCTTAAAGACGAATGTATGTAGGGAGATATAAAACTTTTTACTTATGTAAGAGCGTTGTTTATAAATGGTAAAGAATATTCGGAATATAGATTTATAAAACAGAAGATATATAAATATAGTCATAAGATGTATTTCGCGAGATATAAATCGTAGACTTTCATTATATATCACATATTTATTAATAAAAAATGTATTTATCTTTTTTTAGATGATATACAAAAAATTTTGTAAATGTATTCTATAAATGAGTTTTTTCTAAATTGATTACAATCTATATTTTTGCGTTTTTGCAGAGCAAAATGAAAAAATATTTATTCTTTACCACTTAACTCACAAATAATAGATTATAAAGCAATTTATATTTTTATGCATCACAGAATAAATTTTTATAAAAAATAAAATTGTTTAATTTGATTCATCTCACATCAAATTTAACTATTAAAAGAGAAATTCTTCCATTCTACAATAGAATTGTTTGAATTTCATGATACTGCATTAATATCAACATCTAATTTAGGATACGAGCATATGTTAATAAATATCTTCTACGAGGATCGTTCGAAAAGTTTTGAGCCTCATGAAGATGGCATTACTCGTCAAAACCATTCTGGTACTACAATCGTACATGTTTTGCAAGATACCTGTGAAAATTATAGCCATTTTGAACGCTCAGTTATTGTTTGACAGTCATTTGTGCCAGTCGATGTCAGTGTTTTTGTAAAAACGGAAAAAATCGAATTTCGACGATCGCCATAACACCGCCATAACGAATTGCGGTTAGAATTAATTAACTACCCACCGTATTTACCAGATCTGATTCCCAATGACTTTTTCTTGTTTCCTATAGACTCAAAGTTAGGCTCGGAGGACACAGATTTTCATCAAACGAAAACACTGACATCGATTATTTATAAGATTATAGTAGCTCCACACTTCGAGTACTGTGCGATGTCTTTTGATAGACATGGGGGAAACACAGCTAGACCAAAACCAGGAATCATTATATATATATATATATAATTTTATTTCTACACAATCCTCTATTACAATGAGATTTTATACTACATTTCATCTTTATACTTGCCCACTGTTTAAATTTTTATTCAATTATTAAGCTTAATATATTAATTATGACACATGATAATATTATTTTTACTGGAACAAAAATAATGTACTTTAAGAGATAATAGAAGTTAGTTTCGCAAACTAATATTAACCTTTATATTTCATTTAAATTATAAAAAGTATATTTACTGTATGTAAAATCTGCACAAAACAACGCATCTTTCAATTAGTTTTCAATAGTAAAAGCGCAATTGAATATGATTGATTTAATATCTGAAATATTTTTTTATTTAAAAATTTCTAATACGTACTGTAGGATGTCTTAAAGTATTAATAGAATACTAATAATAGAATAACTTAATTAATATAGAATATTAGTAATAGATCAGTAATACTAGTAATAATCAATAGAATATTAGTATTAATAGAAGACAACGGTATACGTAGAGTAAACTTAAAACTCACCGTCATAAATGAAGATAGAGATAAATTATATTTTTCAAATGTTGACAGTTTAATTTCTAAATTATTAGCCATTATCATGAACATAAATGTACGTTTCATATTCTTTCCATATTGATACCATTTTTCGTGAAATGCATACTCCGTTATATTAACACTCTTAATTAGGAATAGAAGAAAATATGTATAATATATTTTTATTAATTTTTTATAAACGTTTCTCCTCCTTTGTATATAATGTACACATATAAAAATATGAATTGCAACAAAGCCTACCGCATCTAATAGCTGTTGCATACAAGAACATATTATATAGAGCTGCACTACTCCACCGATTCCGTACACAGTAACCGAACATACTTCCCATAAAGTTTCTGATGGTATCTAAAAATTTCCAAAAATATATCAATAAAATGTTGACTGATAAAATGCAATAATAATATTGATAATACTTTTGGTAATGCCTCCACGGGTATTTTCTTCAGAAATACCCATCGACATCTAGAATGGACCGCTGATGGCAATGGTGGGGGTAGAAAGACGATTAGAGTGAGAGGCAGGAATAATCGTCTTTCTACCCCCACCATTGCCATCAGCGGTCCATTCTAGATGTCGATGGAAATACCCAAAGAGTTTGCAGGTTATCATTTTGCCGTAATCCATATATATGTATCAATGCGCTCCTCATCTTAATGGAGACGATGAAAACGGCAAGGAGACGGTTAATGAAATTTGTATTAGCACAATGGATCACGGCACGACGATAAATTGCAAACTCTTTGGCACTTCTGAAGCAATAATAACATTACAATGCTTTTAAATTTATCAAATATTCCGACAATAATTGACATTAGAGATTGTTACTCACTGAAATTATCATGAGAGAAATGCAACAGAATCGAAAAATGCTTATTACATATATTAAACTGATGTTTAAAGAAAGTAGTTTTCTTAACATTAACATTATCCTAAAAAACATCGAATAATGATAATAAGATGTTGTATATTAAAAAATAAAATAAGAATCGTTATTGTTATTAGGTTAATTAAAACAAATTTCAGTTACGTATTGTAATAAAATATTTTAAAATACCCATATGTAGAATTTAATAACATGCAGTTATAATTTAAATCATGATATTGAATATTACAAGTCAATGCCACATCGAATCAAATAATATAGAACATTAAAAGCAGATTCAGTTCAAGTTAAAAGGCTTTGACACTTGTAACTTTTTCGAAAATTAAAAAATTCAACTTACTGGATCACTGCATTATGATGCCGACATAAAACCTTTATTTCTTTTTCGGCGTAATCATCTCTATTGAGATAACATTTCTCTTTATTAGACTTGCTGTGATCACTTTGAAGAAATTTGTCTTGAAATATCATCGATAGCTTTAATGCGATATATTTATATTGTGCCGTTATCAGCAACAGCAGATTTATTATATAGCTATCCGTACCAACTTTTTTTGTAAAAATATACGCGCTGCTAATCACCACAATAACACTTCCAAATACAAACATACTGGTCGTGATTGGCTCTTTAGTATAGACAACTGGCATCTTATAATCTACATAGAAAAAGGAATTTTTTTGAAAGACCAACATAAACGGTTGAGTACTCCATGCTATTATGGATATTACACCTATCGACCAGTAAAATTTAAGAGGACTTTCCATCGACTTTATAGTCTCTATCACTATACTCCTCATCATCTCGTCTTCTACGCTCAGAACATTATTCAATTTTTGAATTAACTGTTGTACTTGTCCTCTACATGTGCAAATTCGTATAATTGTACAAATAACTTCCATGCCAACTGCAATACCGATTATACCATCTTTCAAAGCTTTCTCTTTTGGCACAAAAAAACACCCAGGAATTAACACACATGTTTGAAGTATTTCGAGCAACCATATCAGAATGCTATATATTTTCCAAGATATCGGAAACGACGAATTGTCAGCGGTCATTGGTAACAAATTACCTGACATCATGTTCAGTCGAACATTCAGAGGATTCACATTTTGAAAATCCATGTCTTTGATGTTTCGTAGTATATCGTTCTTGAATAGAGAACAAAGAAAAATAAAATATTTACAACGGAAGAGTCGAATAAAAGTTTAACAGAACAATTCTATTTATTTATAATTTAATTTATATTACGCATTTAATTTTAAA